GAGAAGGTGGTGGTGAGCTGTGCCCTTGAGAAGGTAGTGGTGAGCTGCCTTCTTGAACCGCTGTAGGCCACATGTTATAGGTAGACCCACAATGCTGCTCGAACGGGAATTCCACAATCACTGTTGAGAAAAGAGGGCGGAGTTCTTGACGGTGGCCTGGTAAACATTTATCCCTCAAAGAGAAGATCTGGTGGAGCTTGCTGTCCATGTAACTGACTGCCAAACTGTTCACATTACAACAGTGACTATGCACCTGAGGTGTTTATTTGGCTGTGAATCATACTGGAATGGCTTGAGGGGGTGGCAGGCACTATATAAATGCAAACTTTTCTTTTCCTTCATGACATGGATGGTTTCAGGAGCTGACAAGAGAAAGATTTCAAACAATGCATTCCAATGTGTGGCGTTAAGCACTGATGGTGCAACATGGAACTCCATTGGTGATGGTACGAGGCATTAAAATTGTCCATGAGGACCACAATGTTCGGCATGGTGGGGAAGCAATCCACTGGCCTTCCTGTCCTGGACTTAACTAGGATAGAGTTGAGAAGGCAGCAGTGCCTTCCACCAGTGCCAATCCCACCCTGCCTCCAAACTAGCCTCAGGAAAGGTAACCATGCAAACCCTCCATTGAGCTCAGAGCATCAAACCGTACTGCAGGGTGGGTGTTACATTTGATTCCAAGAAAAGCTTCTGACCTCATATTCTGTAAGGCCACCATTTCCCACCTCATAACGCCAATCGACTGAGCTCCATCTCAGCTCCTCTGCTGCTGAAGGCCTCGTCCAGAATGTTATTACCTCAGTCTTGTCCATTCCATGCACACCCAGCTGGGCTCCCACATTTCCCTCTTGGTAAACTCATGGTCATCCCAAATTCTGCAGCCTTTATCTTAACATCACAGCAAGTCCTGTCAACCCTGTGCTAACTAACCTACACTGGCTCCTAGTCAAGCAACATCATGGTTTTAAAACTGTCATCCATTTGTTCGAATCTCTCAGAGCCTTGACCCTCTCCACCTTTGTAATTTCCTCAATCCTCTAAAATATCTGCGCCCACTAAATTCTAGCCACTTTTGCTTCCCAGACCGAACATGATGACTGTGCCTTTAGTTACAAAAACTCTGAGCGACAGAATTTATTCCCTTCACCTTCCTCCTATAAAACAGTCCTTAAAACTTACCTCTTTGACCGAGGTTTTCATTATCTGCCTTAATGTCTCATGTGGATTGAAGCCTTATATTGTTTCACAATGTCCCCGTGATTAAAGACGCTAAGTAAATCATTTGTCATTGTTGTTAAAGGGGCAATTTTGCAAATTTCTAATCCAGCACCTGGGAAGGGCATAGGGAAACAAAGAAACTAGGAGCAGGACTAGGCCATTTGGTCCATCAAGCTTGTTCCACCATTTGACATAGAGTCATAGAGTCATACAGCACAGAAACAGACCCTTTGGTCCAACCAGTCCATGCGACCATGTTCCCAAACTAAACTAATCTCACCTGCCTGCTCTTGGCCCATATCCCGCCAAACACTTCTTATTCATGTACTTATCTAAATGTCTTTTAAACGCTGTAACTGTACCTGCATCCACCACTTCCTCTGGAAGTTCATTCTACACATGAACCACTGAAATTCCCCACCCTAGGAAAAAAGACACCCTGCCAGCCATCTTATCTATACCCCTCAGGATTTTATAAACCTCTATAAAGTCACCTCTCAACCTCCTGCACTCTAGTGAAAGAAGTCCCAGCCTAACCAGCCTCCCGTTATAACTCAAACCTTCCATTCCCGACAACATCTTGATAAATCTCTTCTGAACCCTCTCCAGTTTAATATCCTTCATATGGTCATGGCTGATCCTCTATCTCAAACCGGCCAGCACCAAGGGAAAGGGAGATAACCCAGCAGACTTTAACATCACGGCTGCTTAAGAAAAACAAAAGCAATCACATAAAGGGTTTTATATGCTGGAAAGCAAGAAGACTTTTGCCTAGGTAGATATGACAATTCACATTGTACAGACAGTAATTGAGACTGATCAGGATCCCTTATGCTCTGAGACTATACATTATTGATCAAGTGAATAACCATCAAGGGATTCCTTACCCACACTCATTGTCCCATTTCTCAAGTGTTAACAGACCACACACTACATGTAACCATCACAGGCTTGAAATTCCTTCTCTGACAGTTTTAACAAAAAAACAGAAGGCAGTACGACTGTACTGCAGCCAACTAAAATGATCAAACGAACCATTCCACCACTCGGTTTTATTTTTAAGAAGGGGAAAGCTCCCAGATAGAGTGAACAAGCTCATTACCATGTCAAAACTGAAGGGACATGTTTTGTTCATGCAAGCTGCCATAGACTCAGGAAAGTAGATGCAACAAATTTGATCCTGAGCCCAAATTCACATCTTTTCTACATTAGCCCAAATTGGCCCAATTTGACCACTTCCTAAGGAACTGGTAATATATTTCAGATGCAGCTGGAACAAGCCTGCAGTCCTTTTCAGGATCGACCCAGGATCGAACAGGAAATAAGAAATGGTGACCGTGGAATCAGGTAATCCCAAGGGAGCCGGCCCGCTCATGAGGAACAGATCGCCTGAAG